ATCACCAGGAGATGGTGAGTTCTAGTCCCACCTTAGCCATGAAATGCAGCTGGGTGACTTTGGACCAATCACCAGGAGATGGTGAGTTCTAGTCCCACCGTAGCCATGAAATGCAGCTGGGTGACTTTGGACCAATCACCAGGAGATGGTGAGTTCTAGTCCCACCGTAGCCATGAAATGCAGCTGGGTGACTTTGGGTCAATCACCAGGAGACTGTGAGTTCTAGTCCCATCGTAGCCATGAAGTGCAGCTGGGTGACTTTGGACCAATCACCAGGAGATGGTGAGTTCTAGTCCCATCGTAGCCATTTAAATGTAGCTGGGTGACTTTGGGTAAATCACCAGGAGACGGTGAGTTCTAGTCCCACCATGAAATGCAGCTGGGTGACTTTGGGTAAATCACCAGGAGACGATGAGTTCTAGTCCCACCGTAGCCATGAAATGCAGCTGGGTGACTTTGGACCAATCACCAGGAGACGGTGAGTTCTAGTCCCACCGTAGCCATTGAAATGTAGTTGGGTGACTTTGGGTCGATCACCAGGAGACGGTGAGTTCTAGTCCCACCGTAGCCATGAAATGCAGCTGGGTGACTTTGGACCAATCACCAGGAGACGGTGAGTTCTAGTCCCACCGTAGCCATTGAAATGTAGTTGGGTGACTTTGGGTCGATCACCAGGAGATGGTGAGTTCTAGTCCCACCTTAAGGCATGAAAGCCAGCTGGGTGACTTTGGGCCAGCCCCTTCCTCTCAGCCCAACCCACCTCACAGGGCTGTTGTGGGAAAAGTAGGAGAAGCAGGTGTGTCGGGTTCCTTTGCCACCTTGTAATATTTGTAAAAAATAATAAAGATAGCATCCAAATGAATGAGTGCGTGAGTGAACGAACGAACAAATGACCGAGAGCGAATGAATGAATGAGTGAACGAACAAACACGGCAGCCGAAGCTCTTTCTCGCGTGTCCCAGATTTCTCCAAGAACAGCGGATCGCCTGTGAGGTGGGCCTTTACTACGTGCTCCACATCACCAAGCAAAGGAACAAGAACGCCCTGCTTCGCTTGGTCCCAACTCTGAGTAAGTCCCCGTGTCCTTATCTCAGTGAAAAGGCAGAAGACAGGCCAAGCGTCCTCCTGGCACGGCTGGCTCTTTAAGCCAGGAAGAAATTGAAGGCATTGTGGTGCAATCCGCCGTGGATTCCACCACCCCCTCTCTCTCCTCCTCTCTTTAGAAAGAGGGTGAGAGATAGAGGTCCCCTTAGTGGTGGGATTCAAATTGGTGAACAACCGGTTCTCTGCATGGATGCCACTTCCGGAAGTCCATTCTGGGCCTGGGCAAGAAAAAAATAGCTACCGGTTCTGCCGAACTGGTGCGAAGTGGCTGAATCCCACCACAGGAAAGAAGGGAGGGAGGAAGGAAGGAGTGGTGGGATTCAAATTGGTGAACAACCGGTTCTCTGCATGGATGCCACTTCCGGAAGTTCCATTCTGGGCCTGGGCAAGAAAAAATTAGCTGCCGGTTCTGCCGAAGCGGTGCTGAATCCCACCACTGGGTCCCCCCCCTCCCACCTTCTGAAAGTCGCCCTCTCTCTCTCTCTCTCTCTCTCTCTCGGCATTTTGCAGCGGAGACCTTCAACGACCTGGCCTTTGGGGACATTTTCCTGCACCTCTTCACAGGCAACCTCACCCTGCTGGCCGACGAATTTGGGCAGGACGATTTCTGCGGGGTCCTTTTCGACCGCTTCTTCCTGCCTGCCTGCCCCAGGTAACGCCCGTCTCCTTTCCAGAAGGTGACCACGTTCTGTCTTCCCTCAGGAAGTGAGGGGAAGGGAAGAGAAGGTGAAAGGGAAGGGAAGAGAAGAGAAGGGGGGAAAAAGGGAGGGAAGGGAAGAAGGAAGGAAAAAGGAAAAGAAAGGAAGGCTAAGGAAGGGAAGGAAGGAAAGAAAGGCTAGGGGAGGGAAAGGAAAGGGAAGGAAGCCTAGGGGAAGGAAGGAAGGAAGGAAGGAAGGAAGGAAGGAAGGAAGGAAGGAAGGAAGGAAGGAAGGAAGGAAGGAAGGAAGGAAGGAAGGAAAGGAAAGGAAAGGAAAAGAAAGGAAGGAAAGGGGTGAAGGGATGAGAAGGGAAGAGAGGAAAGGAAAGGGAGGGAAGGAAAGGAAAGGCAGCCTAGGGGAGGGAAGGAAAGGAAAGGAAGGAAGGAAGGAAGGAAGGAAGGAGAAAGAAGGAAGAGAAGATAGTTAGGTCTTCTGATTGGGAGAAGCTGCAGGGCTTCAAAACCGGGGCACCCACAGTCTGTTCCCACCACGTCCCAGGAAGGACAACGTCCATCGTCACCTGCTGAGGCTGCTGCTTCACCTCCATCACAAAGTCTTCCCTGCCAGGCTGGAGTCGCTGCAGAAGGCCTTGGAACCAACCAAGCAGGTAGGAGGAGAGGGGGGGGGGAATTGGGGGCTGTATTGTGCTCGTAACTCAAGCACTGCTCTTCCTCCAGGCCAGCAATTTACCATTTTTTTATTTAAAAAAAAAAATCTCTTCTCCTTGGAACAGAGCAGCGAAGCAGTGAAAGAGCTTTACAACCAGCTGGGCGAGAAACTGGAAGTCCGCAAGCCTAGCCCCGTCCCAGAAGCTGAAGCTCCACCGATGGATTTGCCCCTCCCAACAGTGTCTTCTACCCCGGTTCCACCATAGATGCAACCCCCACCCCCTCCTCAATTCCCTCTGGGAGAGCCAGGCTCATTCCTGGCGTCGGAGGGACAAAGGTTGGACACACTCAGCTTGCTTGGGACACGGTCACCTGGGCAACCTTGAACGCAGCTACTCAGATGCCTACTCCGCATCTCATCCCCACAGTGTGGGTGTCTCCCAGGAAGGGTGCTGCACAATTAAAGATAGTGGGTTATTGTTGTTGTTTTTTGAGGGGGAGGATCGCTTAGGGCAGGGGTCTCCAACCTTGGCGACTTTTAAGCCTTGTGGACTTCAACTCCCAGAATCCCTCAGCCAGCCGGTTGCCGAAGTCCACCAGTTCTCAGTTTGCCAAGGTTGGAGACCCCCAGTTTAGGGTGTCTGGATTAGCCCTGGAGGGGCAGGACAGGTTTAAATCCAGATGTTATTTTTGTAAAAAACAAAACAAAAAAAAACTTGTGTGTTCTTGTGTGCCTATAGGAAACGCACAAAACAAACGGTAGAAGGTGGGGAATAATTTGTTCACTCCTTTTTTGCTTTGGGTTTTGTTTTTTTTTCTTAGCGTAGGAAAAATAAACTTTCCAAGCCCTGCCTCTGTTTTGGCACTTGCTTTTTTTTTTTTCTTCCCTTCCCCTCTTTCGTTGTGGTTGATTTACTCTTTGCATGCGCCGTAACTGGATCCCTTGGAGGTTTTTAACCTCATTTGTCTGAAATGTGTAGGAATCGCCTGCTTGAGCAGGGGGCTGGACTAGAAGACCTCCAAGGTCCCTTCCAGCTCTTGTCATTCTGTTACAAATTGCACCTTCTCTCTCACACACACGCACGCACCCCTCCAAACTGGGGATCAACTAGAAAGCCTTGCTGTGCACCCCCAAACTGGCAGTGTCAGAAACCACGTTTGTTCTCTTTAGACGCTTCTGTTCTTAACCGGATTATGTTAGCAATAAGGACAAAGAGAGGCTTCCAAACTTTGCAAAATCAGGTAGAAACTAGGTCAGTTTCAGGTTGTTGAAAGCTTTAATGAGCCACGTCTCCAAACCAAGACCAAAGAGACACTGAGACATTTGCAGGGAGATGCCTGAAGTCCCCCCCCCCCAGAGTCTTACATTTCCAGCAAAAGGAGCTATTATCAGCAATAGCTTCTTTTTTCCCCCATTTTCTTTCTTTCTTTTTTTTAGCAACCCAATATCCTCTTGCTACAATCTTCTCCAATCAGACAAACTTCCAGAGCTGGGGGGAACTCTGGTTTTAAAACTCCAAAGGGAAGGCATTTTTTTCCAACGGGAGCCCTCCGCTCGCCCGCCGGATGCCCGTGGGAAGGTAGCCTTTCCCCCCAGCATGCATTCCATTTACCCGGGAAGACAAAAAAAACCCAAACCCAGAGCAGTTCTTTCCCCTTGAAAAGAGCTTCGTGGAATAAACTTTCCTTTTCTCTCTCTCTCTTTTTTTTCATTCCGTTGCGTTGAGTCCCTGTTCAAGGTCTCCGGCGTCCCCAACGTTGACGTCTCTCGCTTGCTCGGCTCGATCCGGCTCGCCGGCACCCGTAGGGCAGGTTTCGTCTTTGGGGCTGGTGTCTGAGGCCGCCACAAAGGAACTGGATCCCAATTCCCCCTGGGAACCGTCTATCGGAATCCCCTCAAGCATTTTTTTCTCGGCCAGAAACTGGGTGGCAGTTTTCCACCCCAAGGGAAGGCCTTTCGTGTTCAGGTTTTCGACGGAAAGATACTGGCTGACGGTGGGGATGACGATGGCGCTCTTCGTTTGAGGGATACGGTCCGTATCCACCCCTGGCCTCTTGGCATCTCCCCTTTCTTTTCCAGCCAGCTTCTCGTTTGGGATTCTTTTCCTGGCCAACATCGGATCCGTCGGTT